CTGGACTTCAACTCCCAGAATTCCCCACTAGCTGGGAATTCTGGGAGTTGAAGTCCAGGGAAGGGGCCAAGATTGGAAAACTCTGAATTAGCCAATCACCTGTCTTGGAAGGAAGTGAATCCAGGGTCCTTGTGACACCCTCCTTCCACTCCTGGCTCCCTCCTCCTCCCAGAAGACCGGGAGAATCCTAAGCCCCAGCATGCTTTGCTGTTATTACCCACAAGCCCCCCTTCCCCGCTCACCTGGCAATACAGGTAATACAGCCCCCTCTTCATCACCGTGAACTCCCCGCGGCTGCTGTCATAACGCAGGGGGTTTGTGGCGTTGAGCCTTGCTTCGGCCCATCCACGGATCGTTCCGTTTGCATCTGGAGAGGGGGGAAGACGGGGGGTGTGATGAACCTCCAGCTTTGCAGCTCCCCCCGGAGGATCTCGCCCCTCGCCTTCAACGGCACAAGCAGAGCTGATCTGGGGCCGCCCGAAGCTCCCCAGTCGCCGTTGCACATTTCCCGGATTCACCCATTTCCTGGGTTCGTGCCATAAACTGGACCGTGCAGGCTGGCGCGAGCAGCAGGCTCGGTTCCATAAAAGACAGCAGCCACGGTGAAAGCTGGCCCAGCTGAGCAGGCTACCGGCCAGGCATCGTTCCCCCCCGGCCCTCCGAAAGGGCCCCCGGGAAGTGTTACCTGCCTGCATCCCAGCTCGTCCTACCGTGGCCTGCACTGAAAGAGAGAGAGGGGGTCAGTCCGAACTCCTGGCTCGGGGATGGAGGGCTTTACGGCGCCTGGAACGACGCGCCGGTAACACCCAGGAACCGAACGGGGACTGCCAGGGCTCTGGCATCTCCCCTCTCCGGGAGGGGCAAGCGAGGGCAAGAGGAGAGCCCTACCTTCATAGTGTGCTGCGCAGATTGTTCCGGTCCGGCAAGGCCGAACGCGCTTCCCTTTCTCAGCTGAAAAAGAGGGTGGGGGGAACTTGGGTGGGTCAGTGAGCCCAGAGAATAAGAGAACATCAGCAGCCAATCTTCCTGCCCATCGGAGCGGGAGACAGAAGGGAGAAGCTTCTTTCTGAAATCCAGCCTCAACAGAGGCAAACCACACTTTTCCAGGGCTGGACTGGACCTTGGGGCCGCCAGTTGCTGACGAGAACGTGAGAAAGGACTTATTCCCCAGCCAGACTGATTGATATGGGTGTCCGTGCTGAGCTCCTATGGCACACAACGCATGGCTTATCCAGATGTTTACTGCTTTCTGTTTTCAAGGGTAAGCTGCCCAGAATCATTCTGGAGTCAGACAGCTTCTAAATCTAACGAGTAATAATAATCATAGCGTGGAAGATGGTTTGTTAGAAAGAGGCTGGAGAGTCAGGCTGGTTGGGATCCAGGTCAACAAGGGGCTGAGCCCAACCTCAAGGGGCTACAGATAGACCTTAAACGGTTGCTGAATGAGTGGTCATTAATCAAGGACTACCTGATGTTCTTCAGGCTATATCTACCTGTCCAGCCTTAGGAGGAGGGACTCACCATGCCTTCGATGCCGCAGCGCCCCCTGCTGGGCAAAATGGTGCAGGAACTTGCCTTGGTTGTTCCAGCTGGTGGAGAGCACCACCTAAAGGAGCAGGGAGGTATTGCACGTCAACACAACATTTTGGAAAGATGAGTGGGTGGAGGCTGGAGGAGCTTAGCAGGGCCAAATCCCTGCTAATGCGGGAAGATCAGCCTTCCAGCCCTCAGCCTTACTGACAGCCCCACAAAGCCTACCAACCAAAGAGACAGGGCATGCTCCAGAAAGCCACTTGCTCGGCGAATAGCTCAAAGCAGCGAGTCAAGCTGCACGTTACAGGGAAAGGTAACCAGATTTGTCAGCACACAGAATTCAGAAAGACACTAGCATCTTTCCTCTCGTCCCCCCGCCCTTAATTTTTCTTTCTTTTCCAAAACAAAACCAGAGGGTTGCAGTTACTCTGGTTTATTCCCTTAAAATCATTTATGAAATCCTGCTGTACCCCCCAAAAAAGCCCCCCCTTCAAAACCCGATTCTCCTCCTTTATGAAGAAAGAGTGGGACTCATTCCTCAA